TCAACTAGTTGAGATTAAAATGCATTTCGAAGTCAACTAGTTCACTTTAAAATTTTAATCTGAACTAGGAAAAATTAAAATTTTAATCTGTCCTAGTTCGATTTAAAACTGTACTGGATTTTAATCTATCCTACGACATATATATAATGTGTACACAAAATTGCATTTTAAGAGAAAAGCAAATACTCTAATAATATTTTGATGTTGCTGAGATATATAAGACATTCGAATTTTATTCGGTTCGGTTCGTTTCGAAAAAAACACGAACCGATCGCATCACTGAAATGCATAGATCGCCGTGAACGAACATAAGAATTGAAAGGTTATACAAAGCAACTGATAGAAACTATCGGCCTTTAATAGGATATTCTTTTAAAAAAGAACATTGCATAATAAGTATGAGTGATGTTTACGGTTCGTAGGGTAAGATAGGATATAAGAGTCATGCCAAATAAATCATGAACGACAACACTCAATGTAAAAAGAGATACATTAGTAGAAAAATTGATTCTTTGTATTGTGCTCTTACAAACAAATAAAATAATGCATAGCATGAATCACACTACTAAATTGATCATTTTTATGTCAAAATCAGGCAGATTCGCTGATGTTTCGGGTGCATTTCGGAAATGAATTACAAAATAATTCACAATTTCTATCAAAACATATATATATATATATATGCACAATTATGTATATATGAGTCAATCGCAACTTTTTGGTACGATTGGTGAAACAAAATTAAAGTAAACTTAAAACGCTATTCAGTAGTGTATTTTGTTGCACTTTATGACTACAGTATATAGTAAAAGCTTCCAGACAGTTTATTGATTGATAACGGAGATATGCCCAGGTCGATTAATCCAATAACGGATCCGGCAGGAAATTGACAACACCCTAAAACCAGTGCAATTCTGTCGGATCCATCTGTCGGATTCCGTGGAACTTCCGAGGGTATCATACTTTAGGAACCAATGAAGACTCCATTTGTTGGATTTTCATTCAGCATCTATCGGATCCGATTAATTTTCGACAATATTCTAATGTCGAAACCAAGGAAGATTCCAAAATTGGATCCCAACTTAATCCGGCGCATTGATCCCATGACAAATTTGACTGAAATTCAGAGTATCCTATAATCCGGCACAATTTATCGGATTCCGGGTCGTCAATCTGTGTCATAACTCTCGGCCGGATTCCAATGCGATTCCGAAACTATTCAACTGTTAGAACCGATTACGATTCCCTTAATTCCATTATAATTTACTATCTATAAAATCCGATAAATATTGTTACGACCGAAGTGTTCCCCTTCGATCGTAAGACGGAACAAACGAATAATGCACACTCCTTTCTAGTACAGTGGTTAATACGTCTGCCCGGAAAGCAGGAGGTGCATGGTTCGATTCCATGCGAAGGGGGGTTATCCTTTTGTTCCGTTCTGTTGTCATACCATCACGTTGCTGTCTCGCTGATAACTGAGTATAATAATGTGAGCGAGAAGAAGACATAACAAATATCCAATAGTGCACTACTCTTGTCACCTAAAAAAACTACAATAAATCCATTGCATACTGCCAGTTCAAGTATCGATACATTCCGGTACGTTACCGATAAGCCTCGTTTTATATACAATGCATTCTTGTCTTCCAATACGTATCCACGTTTGACTAAGCAAACAGCGACTAGAGTAAATATTCGATTTTTATTTTCCTTTCACTACCCCGTTTAAAAATCAGTACGATAAGTGTAACAGAGCATCTAACCACGATTAAAGGACGCTTGCAAAGGTACTTAATTGATAAACGCCTGAAACCACAACCAATCGTTCATTATTGCAGAGATGGGGAACTCCAAATCAAAGTTGGAGTTAACTCCGGAGTTGGCGGAGTTTTTCATTAGAGTTGGAGCGGATTTGGATAGGAATTTTTCAATTAATAGATTAACTTAGAGTAGAGTTGAAATGAACTGGAGTGAAGTTGGATTTGGTGGTCCTTTTTCAACTCAAATTTAACTCTGATTGATTATATGACTAGCCAGAAGAGAACGGGAAAAATTGATAGTAAAAACAGACATGTACGTGCATGATATTCATGATGCAATTAAAAGATCGATGAATAGATGACTTCGAGTCATTACACCGAGGAAGAAAGAGAGAGAAGTAGAGAAATAAAGAGAGAATTTAGTATATGATTGGTAACGTGATTTAATATTAACTATTAAACAACTCGTGCATCACACATATATCATCCTGATCTCCACTGCTTCTGTATAATCTGAATGGAAATGGATTCATCATCTGATATAAAGACAATTGATCTCATATCTTCAACATCTGATAAACGCGAAAGTTCGTTCAATTATGACAAAAGTTCGTTTACAATTAAAATGAAAATTGGTAGGCATGGTCTTGAACAGTATTATGATGATCTTAAAGAGTATACCGCCGGCGATATGAAAGGTAAGACATCTGTCACATGTATTTTATGCAAAGATATAGTTTGGCTTGTGAAAACTTCTACATCAAATTATGGTCGTCATTTACAACGTAAACATAAAACTGAGTATGATTTGCGGTCAAAAATACATCATTTAAAGAAAAAATAAAATGTGGAAACTTCGGATTTCATCCGAGAGTTATGTGTACTGCAAAAAGTGCGCGTGGCAGATGAGTCATTCTAGAATGTCTGAGCGTCAGAATTATCATGAGAAACTAGGCAATCTAGTTTCTGGATACAGTTTTTGTGCATTTTGATACATTTTTCAGGCGAAGTTTTGTGAGAAGGCTACGATTTAGTTCGAAACTAATATCAGATTCGGAATCAGCATTCAAAACTGAGTCGATCTATGCATGTTGTAAATAATTCTGAGAAAAGGTTTTTCTTTGAAAAATCACTGTACACCCCCCCCCAGGGATGTGCTGGTCAATAATGACAAGTTTTTCGATAAATCAGCCATTTCTTGACGGATCCTTCTCATCTTCGAACTCGACCTATATCTTGATGAGACAATTATGTGCAAAAAATTTCACCTCAATCGAATCTAATTGTGAAGAGTTATCGAATAAACGGCCCACCGGCCGGACACACAGACCGATTTTAGTAGTGTACTCACTTTTTGAGTACACTAACGACGGCAAGTTAAAACAAGTTTCTTTAGAAGATAGTTTATCTTCATCTCCAAATACATCAAGATATGGATCATCTCATCCTCGTCAAGCTGAATAAACTAAAATCATTTTTCACACTTTTATCGTCGACTTAGACCTAGGGGTGGCACATCTACTTTACTTTTATTTACAAGTAAATAAGTAAAGTAAATAAATTTACTAGCAAATAGGTTTTCTAAATTAAAAACCACTTTTCAAAGTAACTCAGTCGTCCGTAGGACTTCTGTAGTATTGATTTTTCACAAAGAATATAAGTAAACTTTAGAAACTACCATCGGCAATTCTTTATAAAAAATGAAAGGACGAGGGTGGATATGCTAGCAAAAACGGCCCTATTTGGAAACCATAGTGAAACCCCTATTAACTATACATAGTTCGAAAAGAAATTAATACAAAACGACGAATCAATAAAAATTCTGCGAATCTTCCACTTTTTTCCTGCGAGCCAGGTGATATCTCTTATACGGCTTATACAAGAGCTATATACGGGATAACTTGACTATATAGTGCACTTAAAAGTTATTATTGGTAACCCAATTATATATTATTGAATGCGGCACTAAATGCTGAACAAAACCATAAAAAAGCTTGCTTCAGAAAAGCTTGGGAAACGGGTGCGCATAGGAGCACTAAAACATATCATAGTCTTTTGCACGTAGGTTTCTGTTAATAGTCTCCCATGGATCTCAATATTGGAGATAGCCACCGGC